CTATAGTCTTGTCCCATCGCATACCCATCCTATGATTTGCCATTGGATCAATGTTACCTAAGCAACTACACTTGTAATCTTACTGATTGGTTTTTCTGTCCCATCTTGAACCCACCTCACCTTGTGGCTTTGCTCAAGAGAAAAGCAGGGCTGGGGTACAACCCACTTTCTAGGCCCTGTTCTTTCCCCCTTAGACAGAAGCATTCTTTCTCTCAATCAGTTCTTCCTTCTCTTAACCTCTGTTGTTCTTGGAATTCATTCCTAGATTTCAGAGAGCATGAACTCAGCATTTCGGACATCTAGCAGGTTGGGAGTTTCTCCTGTATTAACATCACACAAGATAAAGGTTGTCGATACATCTTTCTTGGACATTTTCAGACCTGCACTGACCACCTGACATGGCTGTGCTGAACAGTATCTGGATGAGTTCATGTTTTCTAAAATTGAAGAATGAATTTAAGGAACAATGGAGGTTAAAAGCAGAATTTGTTGAGGGAAGGAAAGCTTTTGTCTGAGAGAGGGACAGAGGGGGTGCCCTAAGTGGGTTGCTGAGGACCCTGTCTTTCCTAGGGATTTTATAGAGCAAAACCACGAGGTGAGGCGGGTCCAAGGTGGAGGGAAATCGCAATGTGGGCATGAGGTGGGACAAAACTATGGTCAGCCTATAAGAATTGTTCAGGTAAAATTGATTAAATTGGGATCAGATGAGGAAGTGAGTCACGTAGCAAGCAGGCATGAATACAGAGCAGGGGCTTTTCCTGTAATGAGTTGGGTCAGGGACTCTTCAAGGTGATCTATTTAGAATATCAATCCCTGATGTCCTCCCCTAGGGAGGTATGTGGTGCATTTGTTTAGTCTCTTGTCTTGAGGTCTGGCCCACAGTAAATGTGTCTCCATTCGCAAGGTATCTTGTCTTCCTTGTTGGCTCCTTCCAGGGCCTGGCCCTGTCTGACTGCCTGTAATATTTCTGTCTAACTCAGCTGCCTGTGACATTGTGACTGTGATCATGTTAATGATCAGGCAGATCTGGCAATATAAGAAACTGTTCCAAGCGCTCAGTCAGGCAGAGGGGTCAGAATGATGTTGCTTCAGCATCCTGTTAGTCTACTGGACCCCCGACACTGTGACGGGCAGGGCCAGGGCTTCAGTTCACCCCTTTTAAAATCTGTGTGGCCTCAGATGCCCTAAGTGCTTAGGAAGGTCCCTTTTTGCTTTTAAAAAGAAATTCATAAAATGTTTCTTGAAAGCATCAATTAATTAGTAAATGTACATTTACTTAGATGCATCCTGGCTGCCAAATGCTATAGTTTTGTATCTTAGAAGCTCAGTAAATATTGTAAATTGGGTTAATGAATAAATAGGCATGGTGCCTTTAATTAATTTAAAAAGGAATATAATCTAGGTCATTCAAACTTAGTGTTAACTATCACTATACCATTTAAAATGTAATAACTTCAGAGTATTTTTCTTTGCTACCCCCTTCCAAGAAGTAATACACATAAAAGCCATTTGGGTCAAAGTAAAATGTATTAAATATTCTCAAAGAATAAATATTTCAGTGAGAGTGAAAGTTTAAAATTTTGAATGCTCAGAAATGTTTCAGCCAAGTGTGGTGGCACGTGTCTATAATTGCAGCATTTGTGAGACTGAGGCAGGAGGATTGCCAAAAGTCTGAGGCCAGCCTCAGCTACATTGTGAATTCAAGACCAACCTGGAATACAAAGCAAGACATTTTGTATCTCTTAAAAAACCCCAAAAAGTGTCATAACACATAGTTTTGAAGGGCTGGTCTGTATTAGGAAATTCATGATCATAACAATAGTTGTTTAAAGCTCAGATGATGTTTCTTCTCTTTTTTTTAAGGACTGCATTTAATCCTACTAAAACATGGAAAGTCACTCTCCTAAAGGACTCTCTTTAGACAACTGAATTCTTCTAAGGAAGCTTTAGGAAAAACTCTCATTGCAACGCCACTAGGAGATATTGCACATGGGATTTATAAATAATTAAGAGAATCACCAAACTGCACCTCAAAAATCAACTGAATTATTTTATTTCAATCTTCAAGCTGCCCTGAATTTTCCCTTTCCAAAGGAGTCATTCATAGGCTGGGAGGCACTTCTTTGCATGATAAGCATGTTTTCCTGAAGGCTTTTAGATTGCATTTATGTGTATACCACAATGCTATTAGTGACCGAATTCACACAGGCTTGTCGCACAAGAAGGTGTGATTCACTTTGACAAGCTGTGCTGAAGGATGCGTCAGCAGTCTCCTGCCTTCATACTGGAACATAACGTAACATCAGTTGTTACAAGGTGACATACACAAAAACTGTGTGAAATTACATCAAGTTTCGCAGGGTCCCCTGGCACTGAGCAGTTTAGATAGTAAGTGTGTTTAAGGGTAAAGGCTCTAAGGTAGGAGGAAAGCAGACCCTGAGTTTCGGTTCCCAAGCATAAAATGTTTCGGGGAAAGTTGACGGGTACGTGTAGTCCAAAGGACAGCAAAACTTGGCCCTCCAAACCAAGCACCTTCCAGAAAGCATTTAAACAGGTTATGATATTTCGGGGTGACCCTGGAAAATTAAATCTAAATATAAACTGGACACAGCGCCGCATGCCTGTCATCCCAGCACTCTGGGAGGCTGAGGCAGAAGGATCACAAGTTCAAGCTCAGCCTGGGTGACTTAGCAATTTAGAGAGCACTTGGCTCAAAATAAAAATAATACATGGGCTGGGATGTGGCTCAGTGAGACGGCCCAGGGCTCGGTCCCTAGCACCACAAAAAACAAAAACAAAGCAAAAACCAGAGAAGTAAGTTAAATTTTAAATACGAGCAATCTTAGACCTGAGGTTTTCCACCTGTGGTGTCCACATGGAAACAATCTGACGTGTTTTGGAGAAGTCTTTCATCAAAACAAGCTGGGGCATTACATAGGGTAACCAGGAGCCCATACAGAAAACTAAAACGCAGGCACGATGGAGGACCGAGGGGAGAGGGGGCTTTTACCACGGCCTGGATGTGACGGCCACGGGAAAGCACCGTCCTTTCTGAGAAGAGGACGTCAGGCTTCAAAGGCGGAGCCGCCACGCTTAGGAGACGGCACCGCCTCTGTGGACGTAACCGCCGCCGCGTCAGACCTGTGCGCCTGGGGTCACAGGTTGCTGCCCGCACTTCTCAGCTTCCTGTAGCTGAAACTGAGGGGCTATGGCTTGCCTGTTACCTGTCTCACCTGCGGGACTTCCGCCGGCCCCGTGAGGACCCTGCCTTCCCTGTAAGCATGGACAGCTGGGCAGTGTGAGGGACCCGGAGAGCTCCATCTACATTGTACCTGGGCATCTGGGTCCAGCGGGGAGCAGGACGGGCACAGCCCACTGTGACCTGGCCACGGCAGCCCGGACGTCACTCTGGTGGCTCCGTCACCCGTGCTAGATCGAGTGCAGACCAAGCAGGAGGCACCGGGACCTCCTCTCTGATGGGGGTGCCCTGAAGCATTCCTGGTGTTTCTTCACAAGAGTCTCCGCCAGAAAGCGCACCAGAAAGAGCGGCAGCTCAGCGACAGACATTTTACCCATGCATTGCTATTATTTCTGGAAAAAATACGGCTGTTTCCAGTTACATCTTTTTAGAAATCATTTGGGTTCAGAACATCGCAGCCAGTTTTTATGATGTGGAATTTTATGCCCTCAGATCTTTCTTTTTTGTTGTTGTTTTGGTTAATGTTTGGTAGTTTTGCTTATTTTCATTTTACTTTATTTTGGTGTGGCTTACTTTTTAAGAGCTTTCTTCTTCTCCTAGGGGCTTCCTTTGGCCAAACACACAGGATGTGAGACAAGTACTCTGCGCGCGGCCCTCACAGGCGGTTCAATTCCGAAAGGGGTGACAGTCCGTCTCCACGGCAGCTGACCGTGCACAGTTCAGCTGCACGATCTTTAAAATCACTGGTGGCAGAAGTATCCATGCTGGAGGCCCTGCCCCTTCCCAGCCACCACGGCTGAGGAAACGCCAGCAGAAACATAGCGGGTACCAGTGAGTGCCTAACACAAGCTGCTTCACGCCTTGTTGCTGGGACACAGGACACGCACCTACACGAAGCCCACATGAAGCCCACTGTGGCTGCACAGGCGTGCCAAACCCACCCAGGGGCACCAAGCCCTCACTTCAACCTCCCTGAGAGCACTGTCATGGTGGGGAAGCTGGAGCTCATGGCAGGAAGCTGGTGTCCTGGACCTCCGAGGTCCAGCCCAGGGGAACGGCCCTGGAGCCTGGGGATGCAGATGTGTAGGGGGCACTGACGAGAGACGCAGGGAGGCTCGCCCACCCCTCGGCCCACCCAGGAGCCTCCTGGCCACGCCCTCCACTCCACTCCTCCAAACCCGGGTCAGCTGTGTTTCCCAAACAAAGCTGAGCTGGTTCTGCCAGGGGGAGAGAGCTCACTCTTCCTTCATATGCTCTGTGTTTTTAAAATCACCCATAAGTACTTTTTAAAAAGATAAGCAGTAAATGATTACATAAGACGAAATATTAAAAGTGCTTTTGCAGCCATGGTTTTCTGCTGTGGAAAACAGGAAAGTGTATCCCAGTGGGTGATCCCGGCCGAGACCCCGGTCAGACATCCTTCTCTGAGCCTGTCTGAGCCGACGGCTGGGAGTAGAGTCCAGCATATCACAGGAGTCAGGTTTCGAGCTGCATGCACCATGGCAGGAGAAAGGGCAAAGACTCCAGCTGAAGAGAGGCTCCGGGCTCGCGCTGGACAGAAGCGTCTGCCAGGGCTTGACCAGTCGGTCCCAGCCGCGTTCCTTAGCCGCGTACAGTGTGGCGGGCCCACTTGCGGAGGCCCAGCATTCCAGAACGCATAAACTGTGAGGGTGTGGGCTGGGGATTTAGCTCAGCGGCACAGCGCCTGCCTGGCAAGTGCAAGGTCGTGAGTTCAGTTCCCGGTACTGGAAAAAACAAAAAAACAAAAAAACAAACTGTGAGGGTGGGCCAGGCCCTCCTGAGGACTTTTACTGTTTTTGCCTATTTTGTTCTGGAATAAATACATTAATACTTGCTCTAGGCCATCTGCTGATGGGAGCAATGGCTCCCGTGGCTGAGGTGTGGGGACCTGGAGGGCTGTCACAGCACTGTGGGGTGACAGGGGTGCAGAGGCCAGGGCACTGCTGAGCCCCGCAGGAGGAGACCGGGAATGACCTGCCCGCACAGTCCTTGGGTAAGTTCACATGTTGCGAGCCTAGAGCCTCAGTTCTTAACCGGTAATGTATGGAAGAGCTTAGGACACTTGAAATACTTGGGGGAAATGATTGCTAGCCCAGGAGCCCAGGAGCCCAGGAGCCCAGGAGCCCTGGGTGAGGCGCACAGTGATGACTTCGATAACACAGGCCATCTGGTCCAGCGGTGCCACACCAACCTTGATACACAAAGCCAATGTCCCATTAAGGCCACTGCCCAGCGTGCGTGCCTAGGACCCCTTTCATGCAAATCCTATGCTTTTAATTCTGATTTGAGATTAGTTCCAAAAAAAAGCCCTAGCACACATTTCTCTTGTTAAAAACAGAAAACCGTGTATTTGATTTTCTTTCCCCCTTTGCTACAAGAAAACTAAGCTGCCTGAGGTCACTGTGCTTTCTGAGAATGTCCCTGAAGTGCTTGAGTGACATCTTCGAGCCAGGAACTCCCTAGACTCAGACCCCAGGGCCTTCACTCAGCAGCCGCTGGAGGCCGTGGAGCCCAGTCGTTCTCTGAGCTCCATTTCCCCTCAGGTGAGATGGTGATGGTGATTACACTGAGTTAAGTTCATGGCTAAAATTAAAATTGTTAACCCATGAGATAGCAGATAGTGCACAGTACACCCTTAGGAACATGGTTTATTATATTTCCTCTTTCTTCGACCAGTTCCTGCATTTTCTAGCTGCTCTTAACTTGTAAGTTTTATACGGTCTTATCTAGGTTACTAATGGACTGTCAATTTCCAGCAGATATCTTAGAAACGTACAACATCAAAAAAATAAAAAAAGGACCTGGAAGGGTCCCTCCCTCCCCTCCTCCCTGCGCTCCCTGCTTCCTGGCCGCCGTGAGGGGAACAGTTCTCCTCCGCCAGGCCCTTCCACCCCATCCGCCTGCCTGGGAGCCACCAACCACAGAACAACAGCACTAAACACTGGGCCCAGACTTGACATTTCTCCTCCTTTCATTTGTGGGTGTTGTGTTTTGAGCCTCAGGTGCGAGAGTGACCAAGATGTGTGAGATATGGAGTCCAGAAAGCCAAGGTGGCCTCCTACCAATACGGAAGAGCCTAGACCGCACATGGCAGTGAAAGAACATTCTACCTACCAGAGAGAATTGCTGCACTCAGAGTCAGAACAGAGAGAATTAAACACAACACCACGCAACACTTACCTGGAAATTGCTGAAAACAACTTGCACTTTCTGTGGTGCAGCTTCCAGCGCCGGACCTGACATTTGCTTGCTGCCTAGAGCAGGCAGAGGGGTGGTGGAGCCCTCCTGGGAGCACTGGTCTAGGTCTATGAGCAAGGTGGAGCCCAGTCATGGCATGCGGCACCCACTGTCCTGCAGCTGCAGTGTACACAAACCATGTCACAGGTTCTCTCTTTCCTGAGAATTTGCTAGTCTCTGCTTGGACGCATGACTGTATTTTGTGGATGTGAAGGAAGAATTCAGCACTGCAAACTATATTTTGTCTTGATACTGGAGGTCAGAATTGAACTGTCAACATTGTTTTTTAATTTTTTGACAAGCCGTTACTGTTTAATCATCTAGGCTCCATGGACATAGAACTTGCCAAGTGTTGGAAATCAGACTGTGGTCTTGTCATGTTTGGGCTGATGAAACCAGTGTCCACTGTAATGAGAAGGTTTCACATGTTCCCACCCCCAACAAGCCCCAGACAAGGACTGTGCCTGGACCCAGGGAGCCCGGCACACAGACGGGAACAGGTCGTGAGCCACGCTGTCTGAGAGGTCCACACGGCTCAGGTGCACTCGCTCCAACACCACCCTCGAAGGAAGCCGCGGAAACCCCTCCCGCTCTGCTGTCGGAAGCTGCAGCTCACACAGGCCTCCCCAGCCCAGCTGCCACCCCGATGCTCTACGACGCCGTGAGACTCGGGTATTCGTGCAGTTGTGTCTCTGTGTCCGGGTCGCACATTAACTTCATTTCTCTCCACTTTTCTGATCATTTCACAAACTGTAGGGCTAAAGAGAGTCTATTTTCTACCATTTTCTTGATTCGTTAGCGCTCCCGACCGCAAAGCGCTTTGAGAATCCTACCACAGCCGCACACTTATCTGACGTGTGCACAGTGTGCGGTTTGTTATTCTTTAGCTTGAAGTGAGAGTAACTGACCACCGTCCCCTGTGAATTGCTTGTTGATGAGCTTCCTCCTCCTGCTCCCTTCTCAGATCAGAAATAGCATCCAGCAAGTGTGGTAGTGCACATCTGTAATCCCAGCACCTGGGGAGGCTCAGGATAGACGACTGAAAAGTTTGAGCAACTTGGTGACTTAGAGAGACCCTGTTTCAAAATTAAAAACAAAAAGTGCTCCGGCTGTTGATCGGTATGAAGACCTTGGACCCAGTCCCCAGGACCCCCACCCAAAAAAAGGAAAGAAAAGGCAAGTATGAAACAAAGTTTCATACTTCTCAGCCCGTTTTGGCTTTATTTTTCTTCTCTAAGGAACTTGAAGATCGCTTCAGTACATCCTGAGACTTAGACGGCGGAGTGGGAGAAGGAGACAGAGAACTCCAGGCTGGGTATCAGGACTGTGCCAGGCGCTCTGCAGTATGTGATACTGTGATTGCCACAACAGCTTCTAAGATTCGTGTGATGATCTCCATTTTAGAGATCGGGGAGTGAAACCCCAGAAATACGAGGTCATTTACTGAATCTTTGCAGCTAGCAAGTGACAGAAGCAGACGCCCACTCAACCCCGGGTCTCTGACCACAGCTGCTGCTTGGGCCTCTCCACCACCTGAGCACAAACAGGTCCCCAGGGAAGCTCCAGTCCCACCCGGCTCTGCCGGCCCTGCCCCAGCCACCAAGGAAACGTGGACTCACTGCCGTCTCCTGTGCTCATCAGATGCGACCCCCACCCAGTCCCGGCTAAGTGGGATTCCTGTGGGAAAGTGCTCCATAAAGACCAGGCACATGGGGAATGAACGCGTGCGGGAATCTCCCCGTGAAGGCCTTTGGTTCAAAACGACAACCTCGGAAAGAGCCAGGGAGATCCCAGGGTCTCACCGCACCGTTCGTGTCCCAGTGCAGCTCCACCTGTGTGCGGAGTGCGTGAACACTATTTAATCTCCCGCGCCCACCCAGAGCACGCATGAGGTCGGTATGGCCGTGTGCACCTGTGAGACCATGCAGTGAATCCCGGGTTTTACATCGGTGCCTCATTGAAGGCGCAGAGCTCGCCCCGTAAGCCATGACGCCGCGTCTCTGTTCGCATCCCGGAGCGCCTGAAGCACCTCCTCCTCCCCGCAGCTCCTCTCGCTGCGCCGCTCCCGTGCGTCCGTCACCGTGCCCTGCCGCGTGGGCATCGACCTTCTGGCCGGCTCCATTCACTCCAGTTCCACCTCCAGCCCCTCGGCTTGTTCTCGATCTGCTCATGATGCCGGCGTTTTCTCCACAGTGCAGTCTGACGGAGGAGCCCCTTAAATCCCTTTCCATGAGCATTTCTCCCGCACATAAAACCCAAAGAAGCATTTTGATTATTTAATGTACTGCGAACATTTTTATTCACATGCATTCACGTTCAAACAGCCGTACGAAATGACAGTGATGTCTTCATATGTTAATTTAATAGGTCTCTTTGATATCTGAAGACTTTGTTCTCTCGTTATTTTTGAGTTACAAGCTTGTTGAGCCAGTAATTGTGTCTGATAAGACCATTTGGGACAAGTCCACGACAGCCCGCTGCCCGTGTGTGGATGACAAATGCCTACGCCACATGCAAACCCGAGCACATTTATCTGATGGGCGGGATCCCATGAGTGCTCTGCTCATTAAACAAACACGATCTGGCACTCTTGTATTTAGGATCCTGTCCTAAGCGCTCATGGCTCACAGAGAAGCATTCATCAGTCACCACTCAGTGTATTTGCTGTTGCTCTTTCTGAGGTGGATGTGATGGTGGTCGTGTCAGGTGACCCTAGACCCCGCAGTTTCTCCTTCTATAATGAGGGAGTTAGTCCTGTGTGTCTGTGATTTAGCATGGTTATGTCACTCCCTGAATTGGGGAGCCATATCTCTTAACTTTCCAAGTTAGATATGGTTTAATCTTCATAGCTACATAACTTAATGAAAATTTCTTTAAAAATGATGCATGAATGACATGAACTATCTTGGATGTACTATGAGTTTCTCTTGGTGGTTTTTGGATTTAAGTGTAAATGAATCATAAACATGAGGATTATATTTCTTCTAAAATAAATAGGCCTGAAATCACAGATGATATTTTCTTGGCAAAAGGTACTTCATATTTTATTAAACCCAAGACATTTGAAAACCAGATGATATGCTGAGAACAGGACATGCACACAGGATCTCTACCTATGGAATAAAGTAAATTAAAGCAATTTGTTGAGTATTTAAAGCTAAGGAGCTCTGCTGCCTTTATTCTCCTGATAATAAAGAAAAAATAAATTTGAGACTTTTTTATTTTAAGGCCCAAACCACAAAGACTTCACTAATCTGCACATCCATTGTGTGGGCTTCTCTGCCTGTAACCAGCCGCATTCCTCTCGGTCCCAAGCCTCTCCCCGCGCCTGTCAGCTGGGCTGAACTGGACACTGGCTTGCTCCGCAAATTTCCAATGTCTTCTCAAGTACAGGCTTTTTTTTTTTTTTTTTTTTTTTTTTACCATATGCCACATATTTCAGGGTTTCCAAAAGAAATTCAGTTCATGGCATCCAACCCACGTTTTCACATAAGTAAATGGTCTATTTCCCTGTAGTTCCTGTCAGTTGACTGGAAGCTGTTTGCCTGCTCCTGACATTGTCTTCTATTACCCACAGAGTCACATGTCCTGATTCAAAACGCTCAAAGTCACCTGCACAGATCACTCACCTGGGGCTCCTCCAAGTACAGCTCGCTCAACCCTGAGGACAACAATCTCGAACTTCCTGCCTGCTGCTTTCCTCACTTCCGCCCCTTCGATGCAGGACCCGGATGCTCAGCACCCCTGCGTTGCAGTGAACATCCTTGTTGCTCTTTGCAGAGTTGGGTGGTGTTTATTCCGTGTCATCCATCAGTTCCTAAGGAGCCAGGAAGCCATCGAGGGCAAGACAGTCCTGTTCTCCTTGGGAAACTTAGAACAAAGCATGATAATGAACACTTAGTAGGAAGGCAGACAGTCAAGGACCAAGCAAAGGGCCCAGCAAAGCTCAGAGCATTCCTCACAACCCCGGGGACTTGAGTGCCCCAGCTATGCCGTGGCACTCCTGTTCCACGTGGCCACACACTTTTTGTTTCACCAAAACTCTGAAGCCATTTTCATGAGACTTGGTTTTAATAAAACTCACAGTCTACTCTGCCAAGCACATTTCTCCATAGATTTTAAACATAAGATTCTTTCAGGGGAAATTTAATCCTAATGTTTATGATTCATCTACATTTAAATCATCAAAATACCACCATTAAGAATCCCGCTTGGCTGTTTAATTTTGAGATTCCCTAATTGGATAATTATTTGTATATTTAAGACAAAATTATTTGCCCTTAATTATTTAGATAATTGTTTTAATTGGAGTCTTGTGTGTAGACAAGCCATAATCAAACTAAACTATGCCCAATTACAGGGTACTTCAATTTTTACATTTGGGGAAAATTTTTTGTCTGAGAATGTTGATGCAAGAAATAAGAATTTTAAAGGTAATCCTTTAAATACAGACCAATTTAGCAAATAATGTGTAGTCTAGGTAAGTCATTCTTAAGACAGAAAAATACTTAGCTCAGGTTAGCAGTCCTCACTATTCTTTGTCACTTTTAAATAAGCCTCAAGAAAAAGAGGGAAAAGGAAAACGAAGCAGGGACAGTGAAAGCAGTTAAGACCTTAGACAGAAAATAGAGGAAGAAGTGAACATTTCTTGGAAATTTCGTTTTCCTTGTCTTTATTTTTCAGGTCATTTGAACCTCTTTCCCTCCCATTTGCCTCAGCTCCCACCACACCGGCCTCGGGTCTGCCCTTGTCCCTGATCCCAGCTGCTCTGTCTGCCTCCGGAAGGGCTGCAGCCAGGGGTCCCATGTTACCTGCCCCCCTGGAGGGACAGCCCGCCTGACCAGGCCCTGTGAGGAGAACACCGCCCTGCAGAGGGAAGGACGGGGAAGGGGCCCCTGTCCCCTGCCTCCTAAGTGTGCCTTCAGCTGGGAACCGTCTGCAGAAGAACCCGCTCCTAGCCTGGTGGCCTCCCCATCCAGCCGCCTCCCCAAAGTCGGACCAAGGGCACATGTCCCCCGGGGGACGTTTCTGCCAAATATCACTTGGCCCTGGACAGAGTGGCCTCTTCCCCTCGGGGTCCTGCTGTGCTTTCCTCCCCTGGTGGCGGGCGTCACCAACCTCACTGTCTGTGGGGGGCTCCTCAGCTCCGCTGCACTGGGCTCCCCAGGAGCAGGAGCTGGGCCTCCACAGTGTCAGAGTGGCCAGTGTTCGTCAAACAAATGGAGAGATTTTCACTCTCAGTAATCAAATAGCACTTTTGGCATCTCACCTTACACAGTCCCGCCTTGAGCCGAAGAAAAATGCCAAGATTTCTGAGCAAGAAGGATGATAATAACGTTTCAGAATTTACTTTGGTTCAAATGCGGAGCTAATGTTTCTCAATTTTGCCTCATGTATGGTCTCCAAATATTCAATAACTTAGGAAAGCAAAAGAAATACTTGGTCATTTTAATAGAGAAACAAGGAAGGTCAGAGTTTGGACTCCTTGCTGTGTAAATAATGGAATGCTCCAATCTGGGAATAAACACGACCATAAACCAACACTGACTTCTCATTAATTACATTCAGCAGCATAAATTGTGTTTGTACCAACAGTATTTTCACTCTAGAGGACAAACGAAGCAACTGGCACGTACAGTCATGAAACCCAGTATGCACTGAAGACAGATGGACACTGTCATTCCATCTCTATACTCAGATTCTAATTAAAATTTACATGGTGAATATTAGGTGAAATTTTAAGAAATAATAGTTAAAATAGCCTCCGTACCCTTCTAACCACACACTAACACCCAGGTTCTAGCATTGATTTTGTAATACTTTGGTAAAATAAGAATTTTTTAAAAAGTGCATAATAATTTTCATCCTCTATTCTCCATTTAATCCTACATCAAGAAAAAAACCCACAGTTTAGAAAATCTAAGTAACTGGCTCAGTGTTACTCCGATTCATGCTGAGAGAACTGGCTTTTGTGGTTCACTCTCTTAACATTTTAAATTGTGAGATATATATATATATATATATATATATATATATATATATTTAACTGTAAGTCTCTTTTGCTAATTAAGAGAAAGAAACTGAAATAGTGAAATCTTTGCATTAGGAAGTCAGCATCTTCATGTAATGGTTCGGTTTTCACAAACTGCTGATCCCCTCCACGCTGATTTAGTTCTGCTGGGAGGAGACGTGTGATGCTTCAGCAGAACGCACAGCGGAGGCTGGGAGGATGGAGAGCGGTCCTCAGCAATGTCTGCTTGGAGAGCTCGTTTCAGCGCCTCACCAACAACATGGCTGGAAATGCTCAGAGCCCTGCCTGCTGGGGGCTGTGATGGGTGGCCTGGTCCAGCTTTGCAGAAAGAGGTTTAGTTTTACTCTGAGCCACACTTCTACAAATTATTTCATGTACCTCCCAAACGAAGAGAGGTGCTCCTCTCTCCCCAGGGTGCCTGATGTTAGGAATGGGTCTTTGCACCCTTCCCTGGTCTGGGCTGGGAGACTTGTGGATCCACCTTCCTTGCGAGCACTCTGAAATCAAAGGCAGTGTTTCTAATGCCTGCCCATTAAACAAGAAGTGTGTGGCTTCTAAACACAAGGGCATTAGTAGCAAGAAATGTAGTACAAGTGAAGTCTTTAGCTTCTTGAAAATTGCTAACACACCTTGACCAGCTTTCTAGTTCTCCTACAGCTTGCCAATTTAAAGACAGTCTGGAAAGACATTAGCTCAACTGTGAATACAATTTTTGTTGGTTTTATTTAAAAAGTTTTGATATTTAAATTTTGAAAGTAATAATATTTTTTTAAAAATTTTGTTATGCATAATGACTAGATCAGGGGCAAAAACAAACCTGAGAAGCAGGCCTCTGGTGCCTTCTGAGCTCCCACTCCTGGATTCTACTGAAGATGCAGAGGTGGGAGGGAACCCAGTCCACACTCTGCTCTGATGGAGAGACAGTGCAGATGGCCAGAGAATAACACCCAGGGTCCTAAAGCCCCCTGGACAGCAGAACTTAAATAACAATCACAATAATCTATAAAGTAACAAATATTAAATTTACAATAAAAATTAAAAGAAAAATATAAAGCAACATGAGCTAAGGTTTAAATTTTTACTAAGTTATTAAATCAGCAGCTTTTGAATTGATAAGACAACTTTTAAAGCCTTTAATTGCTAATTACTGTTAATTTAGATTTCTTTAGTAGTTTTGTGCTATCTGATTTGCATACAAGTCTCAAAGAGGACTTCAGTATTCAGGATTTTTGCAGTTATTTTCCTGCTGTGAAGTAGAGAACCTGTGTTTTGAGCTGTGCTCTTAAAAATAATATTTGCTTTAATATTGCCAAAAGTTCTCAGATAAAATCTGAATAAGTTATTTATTGGCAGGTTTCTCATTTTATTCTATAGCTGCATAAAGCATGCTATTAACCCTTTCTTGTCATTCCCTAATAATTACTTTGTCTTAGACAAAAAGGGAAATTCAAGACTGGATGATTATTTTCCAAGTAACTCTCATTATTAATGAAAGAGAAATTAATGGGACAAAGAATTAGCGGTGATCTGGTTTACTCTAGCTATTATGTGAAATATGATGCTTTACTTCTTTTAATTATTGAAGAAACAGCAGAGACTTTCTTTCCACTGATTTCCAAAACTTTCATCACAATAGAATGAAAATTTAAAACAACATCATCACAACATCTGTCTTATACCCCCAGGAATAAGAAAATGAAAACTATGTCTATCTTGTAATATATTATTAACTTTTTTCCCCTTTCAAAGTTTGACCTACTTTTACAATTAATGCTTAACAGACATTTTTAACATATTTTTTGGAGCTTTGAGATGTTTACGTGTTTTCTTATACTTCTATTTTGATGCATATTTATGAAGAGGAGTAAATTATAATACAAAATGAGAACTACAATCACAAAGCTCAGCTGGGCAAAGTGGGGCACGCCTACAATCCCAGCACTTGGGAGGCTGAGGCAGGGGAATGGCTGTGAGTTCAAAACCAGCCTGGGCTACAAAATGAGCTTAAGGCCAGCCTGAACTTCATGGCAAGATCTTGTCTCAAAAAAAGACAAAAAAAAAATGAAGCTCATTTTGAAGAAAATACAAATTTTTTTTTCTGTAATACAAATGTTAGTGGATATAAGATGAAAGTGAATTTTGGTCCCTCTATAAATTACATGAAAACCTTAAATATAATTTTTGAAACAAAAATATGTAATTAATTAAGAAGACCAAAATATCCATCAGTAAAGAAAATAGATTAGATTTCTTGATGATACCTTTTATTTCTGAAGTGAAATGGAAACTCGGTATTGTTTTAATTTACATCTCTTGAATAACCAGTGATGTTGAACATTTTTTCATGTATTTATTTGCCATTTGTATTTCTTCATCTGAGAAGTATGTATTCATCTCAGATGTCCGTTTTTGGAGTGAATCTTTAAATTTGTGAGGTCTGATTTTGTTTCAATTTTTATATGTTCTAGATGTAAGTCCTTTGTCCGAAGGACAACTGGTTAAAATTTTTTCCCACTCTGTAGGTTGTCTCTTCACTCTGCTGGTGATCTCTTTTCTGTGCAGATGCTTTTTAATAAGCTGAGATCCCAGTTGTTGACTCTTTGCATGATTTCACATGTGATCACGGCTTTGTTCTTGAAATCCTTGCTGGAAACTATGTACTCCAGGGTTCCACCAGTTCTCTCTTGTAGCAGATTTATTGTTTCCGTTTTAAAATGTAGATCTATGATCCATTTTGATTTTAGTTTAGTGCATTGTGAGAGACATGGGTCTAGTTTTAGTCATTGGCATGTGGAAAGCCAAATTTTCCCTGCACCATTAAAAAGGTTTTCTTCCATTGGCTATCATCAAGACATCAACCAATAACAAATGCTGGCAGGGCTGTGGGGAAAAAGGAACACTTCTCCACTGTTGGTGGGAGGGTAGACTGCTGCAGCCACTGTGGAAGTCATGTGTGGAGATTCCTCGAAAAACTAGTATTAGAGATTCCATTTGACCCAACTATTCATTCCTCTCTTTTGTATCTTCCTGAAAGTATTAAAAACATTGTACCACAATAATATGTGCACATCCATGTGTATAGCCACAGTTTGTAATAGCTAAATCTTGGAAACAACCCAAATGCCATCAACTGAGGAATGAATAAAGAAGATATATTTTTTTACAATGGAGTAGTACTCAGCTATAAAGAAGGATATACTTGAGAGATGTCTAGCTAAATGGATGCACCTTGAGACCATAATATTAAGTGAAATAAACTGGACTCACATGTATAAATACTGCATTGTCTCCCTGGTATGAGAAACTAAAAAAGTAAATAAGGACAAAATGTACAATAGCTATTGTGAAATGGGGAGAAAGTGTTCAAAAGAAAAGAGGAAATAGGGAAGATAAAAGGCTAAAGGAAGGAATGGAAAAGTAAATAAAAACGTTTAAAAAGGATAAAATGGGGCTGGGGATTTAGCTCAGTGGCACAGCGCCTGCTTGGCAAGCATGAGGTCGTGAGTTCAATTCCTGGTACTGGAAAAAGAACAAAACAAAAGAAAAGATGTAAACACTTGGGCTGGGGATATAGCTCAGTGGCATAAGCACCTGCCTGGCAAGCGCAAGGTCATGAGTTCAATCCCTGGTACCGCAAAAAAAAAAAAAAAGGATAAAATGGAAACAAAGCTTTGTAAATAGGGAGGGGAAGGGGGATTGAAGGGAGGAAAAGGTCTTGGGAAAAAAGAGGAACCAAAATATATTGTGTACATGTACAAATTCCCTATGATGAATATGATCATTATGTATATCTAAAATGTAGCAATAAACTTAATTTAAAAAAAGAAAAAAAGTGGATTAGAGCTGTTCCAATAAATAAATAAATCATAGTTTTTAAAGATTAAGGTTAAAAGTAACCATGTGAAACAAAAAAAAAGGTAATGTAAATAGAATTTTATGTTTTAATTGTCTTTTCCCATTCGTACACTTGATGTTACTAATTTTAAATGTCTTGACAGGATCACTGATGATTCCTAATTACATGACTTTTTTCTTATTTAGACTAAATAATGCAGGAGTTGAAAGGGTCTACTTTAAGGTGATTTAAAATGTAGCTTCTAAAGTTTCTCATTTTTATGATTTTTTTAAAAATTAAGTTTATTGTTACATTTTAGGTATAAATAATGATTGCATTCATCATAGGGAATTGTACCTGCACATGATATGTCTTTTTTGTTTGTTTATTTGTTTTTGAGCCAGGGTCTTGCTATGTAGTCCAGGCTGGCCTTGAACTTGTGCCAATCCTCCTGCCTCAGCCTCCCAAGTGCTGGGATTATAGGTGTGCACCACCACACTGGGCTCATGATATATTTTGATTCCTCTTTTTCTCTCATTCCCCTCCCTCCCTTCAGCCCCTCTTCCCATTCTTATTCACAGAAGCTTTCTTTCCATTTTTCCTTTTCTCATCATTTTTCCCTTCCTTCCTTTCCCCTCCCCTCTCCCTACTTCCTCTCCCC